CGGGTGGGACGACGACAACAAACAGCAACAGCAACAACAACAACAACAACAACACCAACACCAACACCAACAACAACAACAACAACACCAACAACAACAACAACAATTACTAGCACGTGGGGACACTCCGTTCTCACCAGTGCCAGGGTTTTCATAGGAGGCGGGCAATACCCCCACTTTGTGGGGGGGCCGGTTCAAGCTCTACCAAATTTCCAAACGACTCTTCGCCACCACCCACACCCAGCTTCCCGCCCTATGACGTTCGGACACTTCACTTCGTGGCATGCGGACGACCGTGGCTACTATTCAGGGCCCCGCGGCCGACGACGACGGCGTGCGCGCGCGAAGAAAAAACGAATGTGTCCCGCATGGTATTATTTGACAGGGATGATGGCCCTGGCAGGTGCGCAACCGTTGTTGCAGAAGTTCGAAAAAGTTGCTCGCAAAAGCCCGTTTGACAGAAATGTTTAAAAAGTGTTGGGTTTCCTACGAATCCGCAAGAGCGCGCGGGATGAGATTTTGACAATTTTTTGTTGAAAAACCATTGGTTTTTTGATGTTTTTATGTTAAAATCGCTACGAAAACTAAGGTTTTGGAAGGATTTCGTCTTGCGCGCGCGAGTGTGCACTTTCGTGTCATTTTTTGCAATGGATTCCTGAAGTTTGGTTATGTTAGAACAAGAAATGTCATTTTATATTGTTTTTTGCAAGGGAAAGCGGGCGTCAACAAAACAACCGGATCTGGATGACATCGTTTTGCTGAGACTTCCTCACGAAAATGATGAAAATGTGGCTGCGGCCTAGGCGCGGCGAGGGGGCGTGCACCAGGGGCCCAACAATAATTATTCTTTAGAAGTAATAATATTCAACAACAACAACAACAACAACAACAACAATCATTTAAGACTGGGGACACTCCGTTCTCACCAGTGCCAGGGTTTTCATAGGAGGCGGGCAATACCCCCACTTTGTGGGGGGGCCGGTTCAAGCTCTACCAAATTTCCAAACGACTCTTCGCCACCACCCACACCCAGCTTCCCGCCCTATGACGTTCGGACACTTCACTTCGTGGCATGCGGACGACCGTGGCTACTATTCAGGGCCCCGCGGCCGACGACGACGGCGTGCGCGCGCGAAGAAAAAACGAATGTGTCCAATATGTTATTATTTGACAGGGATGATGGCCCTGGCATGCGCGCAACCGTTGTTGCAGAAGTTCGAAGCACGTGAAAAAGTTGCTCGCAAGAGCCCGTTTGACAGAAATGTTGAAAAAATATTGGGTTTCCTCAGAAATCCGCAAGAGCGCGCAAGATGAATTTTGAAACTTTTTGTTTGAAAAACCATTGGGTTTTTCATGTTTTTATGTTAAAATCGCTACGAAAACTAAGGTTTTGGAAGGATTTCATCTTGCGCGCGCGAGTGTGCACTTCGTGTCATTTTTTGCAAAGGATTCTTGAAGTTTGGTTATGTTAGAACAAGACATGTCATTTTATAGTGTTTTTTGACAGGGAAAGCGGGCGTCAACAAAACAACCGGATCTGGATGACATCGTTTTACCTGAGACTTCCTCACGAAAATTATGAAAATGTGGCTGCGGCCTAGGCGCGGGGGGGGGGGCGTGCACCAGGGGGCCCAACAATAATTATTCTTTAGAATTAATAATGTTCAATCACATCAACAACAACAACAACAACAACAGCAACCGCAACAGCAACAGCAACAACAACATCAACAACAAGAGCCCGCATCGCGGAATTCCACTTCAGCCACGCACCCAGGGACTGAATGACCGTTCGGTTCAGCCCGCCTCGCTCTGATGTGTATATATATATACATATAAAGCATGAGTATGTTACCCGGCGGGGACACAACACAGTGCTTCTGGCAACCTATGTTGTGCAATCTACGTAGACCCATATATGTGTTGCAGTATATGTGGTAGACAATGTTGGTTGCCATGTATGTCATGCGAGCTATGTTTCTTGCGCACTTTATGTGCGGTGGTAACGCGCGGCGACGGCGACATCATAGCCACCAGACCGACGGTCACGCCCAGACGATGCGCGGCGATGGGGCGGCGACGGCGACAACATAGCCGCCATACCGACGGTCAGGCTCAGTTCCCTGAGAATGAATTAGCTTGCCGAGCCCAATTTTTGGCGGGACTTCGAGCGCGCATGCGAGAGCGGCGCCAGGCGCTGGAGACTCGATGTCAACTGCTGTGCCGTTCGGTGACGTGGAGAAGTGAATCCTTCCCCCTGCCGTTTCTTCCCTGCTCATCCTCCTGCGCTGCTCCCCCTTCTGCCTCTCTTTGACGTGCGATCACCGAGGCCGCCCCGCTCGCCTATCTCGCTCCGCGCTCCTCCCCATCCTCTCCTCCCCCCATCTCCTCTGCCCGACTTGCAAGGATTCCGCATGAGTGCTACTGTGCCCCCCTCCGTTGATGGGCCCTCGCGGCGGCGGTGCCGATCGAGGATAATTGACCTCGTTCGGCGCGGGGGCAGACTGCCGGGGCCCCGCGGGGGGAGTGGGGGCGGCTTGCCCGCGCCCCAGGCACTCGTCGGCCAATTGTCGTGCTTGACCACGCTTCGCGGTGTTTTCTCTTTTACGATTTCTCATATTCTGGTATGTTTATGGTGGTTTATTTCGACTTAAGTTGTTCGGCCATATACTTCCGCACAGCTCTCATGTCCCACGGGTCGCATCAAAGCATTGGGCAACCAAAGCATCGAACGACAAGGCGCAAAACATGCCCGCAGACTTTCGACCACACGGTTGCTCCACAGCCAGCGGCACCCCGGCCGGGAACGACCATTTCAACCAATTCTGCGCGCACATGCCGAGTGTTGCCTGAAATTTTGCCGGGTGCCTCCGTGCACGCAGAGCGCCACATGCACTAGCAATGATAAGGAATCGAACTCTATACACCGACGCTTTCTCCGGCCCTGCATTGAAATTCGCATTGGAGAGCGGCTCCTGGTGTATGTGGGACCCTTGTGTATACATGTTTCGTTGTTTCTTTGGGACATCGGGGAACAAAGTATACACCACACCATCCCAGCGTCGTCCCCGACCCTCAAAAAGTCCTGGGATTGAAAAACAGCCCGCCACTGGTGATGTATATGTTCCAATGTCCGAAATGATGCCTTTTCCAAGCTCGTCGGCGACGTCCGCAGCGGAGCGACCGTCTCTGATTGTTGCGAGGGCACTTTGCAGCAAACGAAGCCCAGAGTTGGTGCCAATCTGGGCGCTCTCGTGCACAATTGCGCTCGCTATGACGATTGCCGCGAACGGGCTGTGAAACCGAGGTGGGCGTCAAGCAACCTGGCGCCCTCACGGGAACAACCAGTGGAGGCAAATATGGAATATGAAAATATGGTCGTCCGCGTTAGAGAGAGAGAGAGTGTGGAACAAGCGAGGCTTACCGTAGCGTAAGGGAGATATGGAATGTCAACACGTTGGAACCAGGGCCTGCGACCAGGAACGATGATAACGAGCAGCGCAACCTTGCTTTCTAGTACCGATGCGATGGCGCCGACAGTGCCGGTACTTGCCAGGGTGGTGATTGGGCTTCGAAGGTAAGCGTCTCTTGCCTCGCGCACTCCCCAGCCGCCAGTGCGGCCACCCGTGCCAAACTGCCGTCACGGACTCGGTGTTGGCCAGCTCTTCTGGTCTGCCTTGGACCCCCTGGACTTCCTCTCTTTCTCTAGTTCAGGTCCCCCTTGGCTTACCCTGGACCCCCTGGTCTGCCCTGGACCCCCCGGACTTTCCCCTGGACCCCCTGGACTTCCCCTCCAATCTGGTCGAACTTAGCCTACCCTCGCAAGGCTGATGTCCCCACATCTGCACTGCCCCCAAGAGTCCGAGAGGCGTGCCAGCACCTGGCGGGGTGTCGAAACAAGTGAGGCCCCCAGCCCCCCAGCGCTGCCCACGTGATTCTCGGCGCCTCGGTGTCCCCTCCCACGCAAGGGGGCGGGGAGAGGAAAAACACCAGGCGCGGCACTGGTGTGGAAAGGCGGGGAAGACGGGGGGGGGGGCGGGTCAGAGGACTGGGGCCAGGAGGAAGTACTGGGAGGAAAGGGAGGAGGAATAGGAGGGGGGGAGGAAGAGTAAAAGGAGGGAGGGGGAAAGGGGAGGGACGAGGGAAAGGGAAGGGGAGGAGGGAAGGGAGGAGGACGACGGAGGAGGAGGAGGAGGGAGGAGGGAGGAGGGAGGAGGACGATGACGAGGACGACGACGAGGACGACGACGAGGAGGTAGCAGGGAGCTTGTCCTTCTCCTCCCTCCTCCATCCTACTCCTTCCTGCTCCCCCTCCTCCGCCATCCACGGTCCTCCTCGTTTTTCTCATCTCTCCTCCCCTCTCCCTCGATCCTGCCTTCTCTCCCCCCCATCCTTCCTCCTCCTGATGCTGACTACCTCTGACGCCCTGCGTCGTCAAGATCGGCGCCCGCGAGAATCAAAGAGAATTACCAGGCGAAGTGGGTGGCGGCCGCAGGGTGGTCTTCGCTGCCGCGCGCGCGCAGCAGCCCGCGCAGGGCGCGCTCCGACGCCCGCGGCACCCCTGACTCTGACCCTTATCGTTTTTGCTCCCCGCCGCTCCGGGCACGGTGGTGTTGACAGATGTTTGTTGTTTCGATGTGATGGGGAGGAGGTCGTTGCGAAGACGAACACGAATGCATACACGCAAATGTCCAGCGCTCAGCGCAGATCTCTTGGATCAGCGCTGGGCCTCCCCTGGCGGCGCCTCTGGCGCCGCCCTTGGCGTGCTCCGCGCGCCACGGCGGGGGAGTCCAGTGCGGAACCAAGAAATCCGCGCGGCTTGTGCCATCGGTTCGTCCTCAGACGTTGGAGCATCCGATGAGGAGCCCTCCGTGCTTCGTGAGGGGAGGTGCCCCATGGCGAGCGGCACGGCGTGTCCTCGTGCAGGGACCCGTCCCGTTCGCTCTCCTCGCCCCGTGCCCCCGCCGCTATCCGCGCCCAGTGCCCGCCCCGCCCCGCAGGTGTCCTCCTGGGCGCAGGGCCACGGGGCGCTCATGGGCCTCCCGAGCTTCGTCGCGCAGCCGAGGGCCCCGGTCGGCGGGGCGGGCTCGAGAACAGAAGTTGGCACAAGCATGAATCGCCATGAAGGCAAGGGGTCCTGACCTCTGGGCCTCCTCAGGTGGGGTCCGAGTATATGGTCGAGTCTGATTGGCAGATCGGCCCGTTTCGATCCAGGGTGCTCGTGTCCTGTGTGCGGCGTCGCATGTCTCCTGCACTCCTGGGGCACAGGTACCCTGATCAAGAGATGATGCAGCCCTTGGAAGAGGCACTAATCAACCTCGGTTGTAGGCGGGGTCGGGGGACTGCACCGCATCGCCAGTGCATCTGCGCTGTGCCTTGATACTGAGCCGGATCTCCTCCCTGCCGAAGGCGTGCGATTTTCTGACTCCATCTGCTCGGACCCCCTCCGGGAGGCCTCTATGAACGCGTCCTATCATAAGTGTTTCTTGTTGTAGGCCTCCGGGCGCTTTCCATGAGCCCCAGGACTGTCAACAGTGTTGCTCCTCGCTTCTGCGTTGTACTGCGGAGCGTCGCGCTTGTTCGAAAAATAACAGAATAAGCATACACTTCCGAAGGTGAGCGCGGATCTCTTTGATGTTCGCTGGGCTCCCTGGTTGCGCCTCCGACGCTGATCCAAGTCAAGTCCTGCGAGCTTCCGAACGTTCATGCTTATGCAGTTGTGATTATCAGATTCATGCCCGCCCCCGTGGCACTTAGCGCTCTGGGCTCGCGGACTCTGCATCCGCCCCGTCCGTCCTGGACTTCGCCCCGGCTGCTGTGAGCGCCTGAGTGTTCCTACTGCCGCGTTGTCCCTCTTGCGCTTGCGGCTGCGTCTTCGGCAGGTTCGTGTCGCGTCGATGCGGCGGCGACCCCAGCAGGGGCGCATAACGGGCGGCGCTTGGGGGCAGCCTTTTATTAAGCCTGCGGAGGGGCTTCTCAGACAACAGGGTTTTTTTTTAGAAGGCCAGGGGCCTTCATAGAAGGTCCTGGAGGCTTCCAAGAAGGATTCATAGGAAACTTGGAAGCCCTCCCGCCTTTCAAGGCTGAACGCCGCCTGTGTCCAGGAGAGCCGTAATCGTTCAAGGAATGAACGATCCGCCCAGCGTCGCCAGCCAAAGCGCAAGCCGTCGCGGCAAGAACCAGCAGCGCACACACGTGCCACTCCGCATGCTCGCGTGCGGCCCGCTTCAGGGGCAACGAGGGGGGGGGGGATGGCCGGGGGAAGCATCGACCCCCACGTGCCCACTGATGGCCAGTCGGGGCTTGACGCCCCACCCCGCCCAGGAGCGTGCGGCTCCTCTTGCGGGGGCCCACCGCCGATCCTCTGTGATGCATCGCCGATTCCAGGTCAAGCTGCTGCCTCTACTGTTCGGGCGAAGAGAACTATGCACATGCACCGATCCTGACAACGCCCATCCTTGACCCAGGATCGGTGCATATATCTTCCTGGCCAAGGTAAGAGGGCGTGTGCACCGATCCTGGGCTCAGGATGGTCCTGGCCAGAATCGGTGTATGTGCATAGTTCTCTTTTCTCTATACTGTGGCTACTCCAGAGTTCGTAATAAAAGGGAGGGGGTCTCAACCCCTCCCAGACGACAATTTTTAGACCCCCCCCGTTGGAGAACCCTCCAAAACGTTGTCCCCAGACCCCCCAGGCCCTCCAAGATAGCCTGGAAGAGACCCCCCCCCGAAATGAGACCCCCCTCCCTTTATTACGAAATCTGGAGTGGACCCCCTCTCCCGCCCCCGTGGCGACAGACATCTCAGTATCCGCGGCCTCGCGGGCCGGGCCCCTGGGTCGCGATCCCGCGGATGCGGGCCGATTTCTTGTTCGGACACCCCGTGCGGAACGAATCCGTTCGACCGCGTATCCGCTGGATCGCGCCCCGGGTTTCAGACCGCGAGGGCGCGGATACGGTTATGGTCACCGCTCGTGACACCCCCCCACCGCCGCCTCGCTCACCCGCACGCGCCTGCCCCCGCGTGCCCTCGCCGTCCGTGCCGCGCCGCTGCGCTCGCCGGCCGTGCTGCCTCCTGCCGCCGCGCCCTTGCCTCCGCCGCGGCGCCGCCGGCAGCGGCGGCGGTAGCGGCGGCGGACCACCCCAGGCCAGTGCGCGGCGGCGGCGACGAAGGCGCGGCGGCAGCGACCGCCGCTGCGACGTGGCCCCGGGCCCGAGGCCACCCCTCCGGCCGAAGGGCGGGAGCGCGCCGAAGGCGCTCGGGCTGGGTTGCTGGGCTCCGATGTCCCCCGTCCTCGCATACAGTCAACCCGCATAGTAAGGACGGGCAACTTTTCCAAGGTTACCCTTGCATCCTTGCCCCTTCGGTCCATACTTAGCGACTTTCGCTGGCCAACCTCGTTCGAAAAGCGTTGACATGGCCCTCCAAGGCCCTTGCAGCCTCACCGCGGATCCTTATTGTACGGGTTGACTTCATCCTTCTTCCCCCACCGTCGTGGCCCCGCCTCCCTCTTCTTCTGCATGCACTCCACCACCCACAGGCCTTCGGGTGGGACGAAGTGAGGGGATTGGGAAACGGGGGGGGGGGGCGAAATCTGTTGCATGCAGCTGGTTTCAGGGCTCCCCTTCTATTTTTCCTGTGGCTCTTTCTGTTTGTTCCTGTGGAATTGGTGGCGCCCGTCCGCACCCTGGACTGTTTGATCCTGTGCCCTTCGTTTTGTTTCCTGCCGCCTGTCCCCGATGGAATCCATCTGTTCTGTCCTGTGGCCATTGTCTTTCTTCCTGCCCGGGGCCCCCTGCCCGTGCAGGGGGGGGCGATTCTGGGGGAGCCGGGGGCCGCTGCTCTTTTACCTGTTCCTGCGAACCGTTGGTTTTTGGCCTGCGACCCTCCTATGTCCTGTGGGGCGGGGGGGGGGGGAGGCGCGCTCCCTGGGGGCCCTGGCGGGCTGGGGAGCTCGAAGAGCCCTGCGCGGGGCCAAGAAGCCCGCCCGGTGGCCCGGGGTGGGGGGACCCGCGGAAGGCCGGAGCGCGCGCGCCTTGCTTCCGGCGAGGGGACCCCCCCAGGCATCCCGCCAGGGGGTTCCAGGAGCTCCGGCCCCCCCGAGCGGGATGGGCCGGGGAGGCGCCAGAGCGTGCCGGCTCGTTTCCGGGGCACGTCGTGAGGCGCAGGGTGCGAACACCAATAGAAAAGCAGATGCTGGTGCGAAGTGCGTTTTGCCTCGTTCTTTGCAAGGGATGTCACCCCCGCCGTCCGTGCCAAAGACGAGAAACCGAGACAAAGTAGTCGCGGGGCTCCCGCGCACGCTCCAGGGGTTGTGAGGAGGGTGTTGGCATGGGTGGAGCATGGGTCCTGGTTGGCTGCCGGTCGGGCGGGGGAGAGGGTGTTCATTGATAGGGGGCAGTGACGGACAGCTCCCCGAATGGTCATCTCCACGAACCACCGACGCCAAGAGGGCCGTGCAAATCGTGACCATAGTCATCCGGAATTTGGATGGCCATATATCCGACAAGACCCTGAAGCACGGCCACGGTCTGGGCCTTGGTGTTGGAAGCGGATGCACATCGAGTCTCTTGTCACAAACATCGGTGTGTTGGCATATTGTGCGGAGCGTTGCTTCACCTAACGCAGGATCGCCACGTTGAGATCAGTCGCACCTCAGCTTACCGCTCTCGTGAAGCTACCAACATGCTCCACCATGGCCCTGAGAAGAGGATTGCTATAGAAGATTGGAGCGCCGATTCTCTGGCTGAGCACACCTCCTCTTCGTACCGTGGCCCGCTTAATGTCCGAAGTTATGGGTACTTTCCCTCCGAGAGGTTCGATTGATTCCTCCCTGGACCACGGTGTATGTTCCTGGGACCTGCGGAGTGGCACCACTCAGAAATTCAGGAAGTGCTCGCAGTGCCAGCACTATTGGTGACGGATGCTGATGTTCACCTGGCATTTTGCATGTTCGTAGGAATTTGAGGCTGTGTTCGGTTCAGCTTTGTTTGTTCGGGGCCGAACGAGCGTTGACTCTGAGGGGGACCAGCCTGGGATATGCCGCCCTTGCCCTGGTCCTGGTTCAGACCTCTGCCCTTGCCCGAGCCACGACTTCCTACGCTGAGACGCACATTTAGAAAGGCTCAGTAGCCAGCCCACGGCCCTGCTATGACGCAGCTTGGTGGTGTGGGCCGATGTGGCAAAAAGACAGCGCGATTCTTTTGGGCCCTAACCCCCTAAAGGGGAAATGGCTGGAGCAAGGCTACGACGAACTCCGTCGTCGGCCTTCGGCATGAAGCGATTGTTTTTGTCTAGATCGTCCCTGCCAGATCCCAGGGGGCAAGTAGTTCGTCCAGCGCAGCGAGGGTTGTTGGTAAACGGTTCAGTGAGATCCGAGGCTTGTTCGTTCGTTCCATCCCTCCCCCCCCCCTCCCCCTGCCCTCCTCCTCCCCCCGCCCTCCTCCTCCCTCGCCTCTCTCCTTCCCCTCCCTCGCCCCTCGTCCTCCCCTTGCCCTCCTCCTCCCCCTTTCTCCGCCGTCCTCGCCCTCCCTCCGCCCCCCCCCCCCCCTCCTCCCCCTATCTCCCTCCCTCGCTCTCCTCCTCCAGCGTGCCCGCGGCCGCGGGGAGCCCCGGGATGCAGGCGCCGTGCCGCCCGCGCCGCTGGAGGTGCTGGTGCTGCGGGGGAGGCCCCGGCCCCGACCGCGCTGCTGGCCCTCCCTCTTCGCCACTGCGGAGGATCGGAGTGGGTACGGTAGGTTTGCGTCGTGTCGACCAGCGGCGACCCTAGCGCGGGCGTTCAAGGTTGAACGCCGCCAGCGACCCAGAATCGATCGATGTTGGACGATCGGACGTTGCGGCAGCGGCCGATCGTTCAAGGTTGAACGATCCCTGCGGTGTCAAAAACCAACGCTGGGGTCGGCACGACACGAACCCGCCGTACTCCAGATTTCGTAATAAAGGGAGGGGGGTCTCATTTCGGGGGGGGGTCGCTTCCGGGCCATCTTGGAGGGCCTGGGGACGATGTCTTGGGGGGCTCTCCCACGGGGGGGGTCTGAAATGGCTTGTCTTGGAGGGTCCAGACCCCCTCCCTTTTATTGCGAGATCTGGGGTACGGATAGAATGGGGACGAAGTTCGTGCCGACTTGGAACAGGGCTCTCTGTCTGCGTCTTCGCGGACGCTGTCCACTTCCGTCAAGCAGTCCACCATTTGAAAGTTGTTGGTGGACATCGACTCCATGATTTTCGTTCCCATTTCGGGCGCGCGCGAAGCCTCCGGCACCGCCACCTCGGTTACGCCGCGCAAGAGCGGCACGTGCGCACGAGGCCTATGGCCAGCGCCTAAAGTGCTGGTTCTCATCTCACAGGTAGTAGTCTGCTACGCCTGATTCGCCAGAGTGGCATTTTGCGTTTTTGTTTGTGCTTGACGCTTGTCGGCTCTCTGAGTTGTTGTTGCCCCTGGATGCT